AATGGTGCGATCCCGGCTCACTGCAACCTCCACCTCCTGGATTCAAGCAAATCTCCTGCCTCAGCCTTCCAAGTAGCTAGGATTACAGGCACCTACCACCACGCCCAGATAATTTTTGTATTTTTACTACAAATAAGGTTTCACTGTGTCGGCCAGGCTGGTCTCAAACTCCTGACCTAAGATGATCCACCCACCTTGGTCTCCCAAAGTGCTGGGATTACAGGTGCCAGCCACCGCACCTGGCCCTGAACATCTTTTAAGAACAAAGAAAGCCATATTCTAAATGCTGTACAGAACGTTTCACCTTTGAAAGCACAAAGCTAAACAGTGAAGCTAAGACATGTAAGAGAGGAAGTTTACAAAAAAATCCTAGATGTGAATGTGCGTGTGTGTGTGTGTAAGTATTATTCAGTATGGAGATGAATAAATGTTAAAATAGCTTAGTGTCAATGGAATGGACCAGAGCAGAGACAATGTCAAACTGCAGTAATCAGCATTTGAAAGTAGATTTGTTTGCCTCTATGCTATAATCACTGTCGTTCATAAACAACATCAGCTTGCCTTCTTTCATCATATACTAACTTAGGGAATCTGGAACAAATTCTGTAATTTTAAATATTGAAAAGTAATTCACAAAATGAATTGCCTATGGATAACTAAAATCTAACTTCAAGAAATTAGTTGAAACATGTCCCCAACCCTGAGTAAAATGGGCATTTGTAGAGCTGTTACTTTGTGATTTCCATTGGCCACCAGGAGGTTTCCATAGTTTCATAATTCATGGTGCTTAAACATCACTTCTAGCTCTGAAATTACTATACTCTAAAAATAATTTTAGTTTTACAATATTAATTACTTCAAGAGTTTTTCATAATTCGCAATCATTAGATATAACTTATCAATGATCCAGTGGTAATTATAATTGTGTTAGAGATAATTTTTAAATTGCAAATTTCAACTACAGATTAATTTTAAATAATTTTGTATTTCTTTATTTGGAGCATTTGTTTCAACACATTTTTAAGCTTTATTTTTTCACTTATTCCCCTTATTCTCTAAAAGTGATTAATCTCAGAACATAAATTTATATTGCTTATTGCTACATACTTTTCCGAAATATACCTGAATTTAAATACAAACACAACCACTATGTTATTGAGATAATGCTGATACCTCCATCAATAAATTGATTTCACAGATGTGCCAAAATTTCTGAGAAAATGCTCCAATTATATTGCATGCTCCCTGAGGTAGAAACACTATCTATTTTTAAATTTTATCTACCACTACATAATTGGCATCCAATAAATATTGGTCAAATTAATAAAAGGATATATTTAAAAACCATTAATAAAGTATCTAAATTTTCCCCAGTTTTATTTCAAATAATTCTAACAGTAATTATTAGAGTGGTTTTGCTCTTTTTCATCCTTATAAAATAGTGTTCAATACTTAGAAGATACCGGGTAGAATTAATAAAATTACTAGGAAACGCTTTGAGCTCCATAGCCTTATAAGAATCAAAAACTTGCAAGGAAATAGAGTTAATCAAGTTCAACTTCTTTCCTCATGAATCAATGCAGCCTCCAATTCAATATTTCCTGTAACAGGAAATGCACTACACTTTCAGGATACAGTTCCGGGAAACCTACTACTGTGGGATACTTTAAGCGTTATCAAGGTTTTCTTCACAGTGTGAAGACTAAATGTTGTCTATTTGTCTCTCCAACCTTTGGTCAAAATTTTTTGTTTTCTCTTGAACATCAAGTATACCCCCATTTTCAAATGAAAATATTTTAAGAGTCTGAAGCAAGTACTGTGAATTATTCAGTCTTTGCATTTTTTCAGATTAAATATTATGTTATTCGTACGGTATAGCTTCTATCCCTTTCTTCAAAATGGTAGCCCTCTTCAAATTCAGATTTGGCTTTTCAATGGTATGAAATGTAGGTAAAAAAGCAATTTTCCATTGGAGCAAAGTGCAATAGTATTCAGTTGAATCACATGAAACTGCCAACATTCAATCATTTCTGACCTATAAAAAAATGACAATTTCGTATGGTTCAACATAATAGCATTATCTTTCTTGATGTAAACACTGAACATCCATCAATGGATCCTCAAATTGCACTAGGTTTTTAGCAGCTGTCTAACACCACAGCTTCATATTAGGTCTGAGGCCAAGTAAATCCCATAGCTCTTTTTCCCATTAACTGTTGGGCTTGTGCAAAGAATTTTACAGAATTTTATAAAGCCAGAATTTACCTACCTGCCACTTTCTAGTTTTGTTATCCTTTTACAGGTTGTTTAATGTCTTAAAATTATAATGTATCCTTAATTATATAGTACTTCTTATGTGCCAGATACTGTTACAAGTCATTCCATTTAATCCTCATAACAGCTATATTAGCCAGAATCATTATTATTCTCATGTTACAAATGGGGAAACAGAGTCACTGAAAGATCAAGTGCACACCCTCAACCACAACATTACACTGGCTCTCAAAATTATCTTTCTCAAATGATTTTGTGGGGATTAGTAACACACATTGTGTCTTTTTTTAATCTCTTTTCATTATCCTGCAAGCTCATTAGTTGCTTAATGTTCCAAAATGCTTGTGTCTTGCATCTGGCACTTCCTTTCTATTCTTCCAGACCATTCTCTTTCTCCAGTACTTTTCACTCTTTTGAAATTATGCTGAAAATGCCTCTTAATTTGTATTTCCCCATCTTTAGCTATCTATAGCTCCCACCTACTCTACATTAATTACGGTCTTATCTCATTATTTTCTCCATTTTCATTTTGTTTTCAAACCCTTTTTCATCATTATTCCATCTTACCATTATTTTCAACTACTTCAAAAATAAAATATAAGCCTAATACTCTATTTATTTCTGTTTTATTTTAATATTATGCCATTTCTCATAAATTGTAGGCTTCCTCTTTCTACTTGTCTTTCTTTCTGAGTCAAGCATAAGAAAATAATAATAAAGCCCTAAACATTGATTGGTAAAGTTTATTTCCCTTTATAAAATAAGAACGTGAAGGTTGGTATCAGACAAGAATTCTGCATAGCAAGATGGTCTAATAGCAAGGGCTGTGGAGTCAGACGGCCTGGGTAGGCATTCCCACTGTCATTTACAACTGTAACGTTGGTCTAGTCATTTAGCCTTTCTCCATTTCATTTTTCTCATATAACAAACGGATTTTCTCGTATAATCCATTTTTCTCGTATAATACATATAACAAAAGGATTATAATATAACCTACCTCTTAAAATTGCTGTGAAAATTAGTGAATATTTATAAAGGGCTTGGAACATTAGCCATCATTATTATAAAAGTTGTAAATTAAGTAAGAAATGTATATTTCATTGCTTAGGCAATAGGAAAGCATGAGAAATTTTTTAAGGAAGGGAGAGTTTGAGCTGAGGCTCCCCTTAAACTAGGCAATACCACTTAGTCAGTATCCACTTAAGAATTAACTCCCAGAACCCTGGTTTAAGTCCAAAATTTTTTGTTGTTGTCCTTCTTCAAACTCCCTTTATCCAATAAAGTTTCAAATTGCCTCATTATTAGGCATTTGCATTGGCCCAGATATCTGGCACTATAACTTAGGTATATTTTTCCTGGTTACTTTACTGGTGCCTGAAGCAAAGTCATTTTCTCGGCACCCTAGTCAATGCTCAGTTCCATCTAGCCTGGCAGCTATGGTCAGTCAGTAGATATCCTGTATTGTCTCAGGCCTTTGAGAAAGGGAACTCCGACAAGAATGACAAGACAGCATATCTTTCAGGAAGATAATCAAAGGAATGATTAGGCAGATGAACATGGAAAAAAGGGGGCACACACTAAGGTAGGAGAATTGTTGCAGCAGGGAAGACAAAAGATAAAATGGGTCTGAATAAAAGTGACTTATCTGATAGTCATGGATTTTTATTTTTCATGAAAGAATTCGTAGCACTAGATGACATTAAGTGATGAAAATGTGGGAGAGAAAGTCAGGATGACTATAAAAATTGCAGTTTTATATTTTGGCTGGTGGTTTAGCTATATTTGAAGCAAAGAAGAAGCAGGCATAGGGTAAAGATGATGAGTTTACATTTAATATATAGAGCTTGAGGTAAATATTGAACTAAATAGAAATGTGCAGAAGCAGTTAGATATTGGAAACATGTTCAGCAGACCACTGACCACCAGCCCATTATCAGCAGGGACAAGTTTTGAGTTATCTTCCCCAGGTTTTAAGAATAAATTAAAGGATTTATTCTTACTTTCTACTCAAAATTGAGACACAGTAGTAAAATGACTGACAAATACACTCTGTGGCAACAAATAGCACAAACCTCACTAGGGAAAGCTAGCCAGAAGCTGTAAACTCATTAAAACAATGCACTAACTTCCTGAGATAACCGGCAACTATAGAAAGATGAAAATGCCTTTTATTTAATATGTTCTCTACTTTCCAATGATCATCCACCCATCTGAATGTGGAGACACTCCAGAAAACAAATTAAAGTAACAATTCAGTCTCTTCACTGTTGCTTCATTAAACAACATACATTTGTATTAAGAAGCTGAATTTCCACTTTATTATTAAATAAGTTGCAAAAAGCAAGTAATATTTGGTATTAAGCAGCACAATCAAAATATTTTACAGTGGCACCTTATAAATGTCAGCAGTTGATCTCTAAAAATAAGACTAAATCCACAAACTTAAATTATGTAAAAAATCATGTCAACTAGATGGCAACTAGATTGCAACACATTAAATTTATGTCTGAATAAAGGAAGTACAAGTTTCAGGCCTAGAATATTCCACAAGAAGGTCATAAGTCAGCTAAACATTCACTGTTACTAAAAACAAAACATGAAGGTAACTTTCCTAAGACAAAAACAACTCAATCTGTAGGTCGAAAAACAGGAAGTATCATCTTGATCAAATTATAACGTACTATATCTTCAAGCCCAGTAATTTTTTAAAAAAGCTTTAATCTTACCTCTCTCCATTCTTTATTTCCAACTCCTTGTACATATAAGACACAAACTACAAAAGATGAAAAAATACACACATATATAAATGTATTTTATGAAAATCATGTGAATATGTACAATTTATTTTTCAGCTGTCCAAAAGCTACATGAAAATTAAACACCTAATTCCCAGCCTTACCTTTGCAAAAAAAAAATGGCTAATAAATCATCAAATGACTAAAAATTAATTTAAATAAACAGAAAAACTATGCCAGATCTTTAGAATTTAATATGCAATGCACTTGACATATAAAATAATAAATATTTGCTAAGGTCTTCATAGATAAATTTTAAAACCATAGTTTAAACAATTTGAAATATTTTATTATGTTGTGAAACACAAGTCAAGTTCTTCCTAAGGCATAATAGGAAGGAAAACCTGGGACAAGTCATGCTCTACATTTAATATTTACAGCTTCCACCCTGAATATTTGTAAATAGGTAAGAAATTGTGTCAACCAAGAAAGGAATTCCCAAAAGGGAGATTAAGGGCTTTGGGTAAAGATTAAGGGATAAGAAGTACCCCACCCGCTTGTCAAATGAGCCCCAGGAATTTTTAATACCCACAATTGCAATACCTTTTCCCAATAACTACTTCAAGAATTCTGACAACTGACAAAAACCTTTCCTCTGCAATTCAACCACATTTGTTTACGCAGTTGTAGAGACAGAGAACTGTTGCATATCCATTTCTAAATATTATAAGATTCAGAAGCACATTCATTTATATAGTTCATTCTGCTGTTTTCTAATTCAAACTACCCTTTTCACTTTACAAGTTATCACCAATTTTCAATACCTCTAATTAGTAATCAAAACTTTGGTTCATATCAGATGTTACATATTTCACTTGGTTATAAATTTTATACATCACTTTTATTTTTCTTTTCTCTCTCTTTTTTTTTTTTTAAGAGACTGGGGGTGGGGGTCTCACCATGTAGCCCAGGCTAGTGTAGAAGTCCTGGGCTCAGGCAATCCTCCTGCTTGGGCCTCCCAAAGTGGTGGGATTACAGGCATGAACCACCTTGTCTGACCACCATTTTTATTTTAAGAAAAAGAAAAGTATTACTCTGTGACTAAACAACTTTAAATTATGGCCCATTATGGTTTTCTTTCAAATGTCATGATTTCTCCCAAAAGGCCATAGCATGAGGTTTTAATTTCAAAGTGCACTGTCCCACACTGGAGTCATCTGTATTCTCATTTTATTCTCAAAGTGCTCAGCAAGTGCCTCTTTAGCCATAATACTGCCCGGGCTGATGAGTATGTAGGGCTTGGGAGCAGTCCCCTGATGCTTTCAAAGCTTTAAGACAAGCTTTTAAACAAGAACTATGAGTTTCATACAACTTTTGCAAAATCAAATGAGTAACAAATAAGTAGATTTTTCAAAAGGCAGGAAATACATACTTACTCGGATCAGATTTAGAAAATGTGTCTCTGTCAAGAAGATTTCTGTTGAATAAAACAGAAAATGTTAGCCGGATATAAACGCAAAATATTTATATTTATACAGACATATTAAAATGTATATATACATAATGTATACATATATACATATACATATGTATATATAAACATACGCATATATATGACAAATATAGGACAAATATATGTCGTAAGGGTCTGTTTGTATTTATTCAGACTGAACATCACTGGACTCCGAAAATAAGAGAAAGCTTTTATTTCCTCAGACTTGCATTGCAGTTAACCAATAGCATGACTCTTACAACCTAAGATTAAAATCTCTTTGAAAGAATTAGCCGTTTTACGTTTCCATTTAATCCTTCATTAAGAATATAAAGATGCTCAGAAATGCTTCCTGAATTGAATTGAGAGCTGTTATTAATGCAAAATTGTTTGCAGTTCAGAGCACATGATGGCATTAATCCATACAATTAGAATGCAATTGTGAAGCAGCATCTATTGACATTTGTGTTACATCAACCCTGATGAATTTTATGTTGCTATTACAGCTTAGGAATTTAAGCTGAATATATAGACCTTGCCTAAAGACTGTTTTCAGTAAAGATTAAAAAGGTACACAAGCAGCCGGGCGTGGTGGCTCACGCCTGTAATCCCAGCATTTTGGGAAGCCGAGGCGGGTGGATCACAAGGTCAAGAGATTAAGACCATCCTGGCCAACATGGTGAAACCCTGTCTCTACTAAAAATACAAAAAAATTAGCTGGGCGTGGTGGCACACGCCTGTAGTACCAGCTACTTGGGAGGCTGAGGCAGGAGAATTGCTTGAACCTGGGAGGCGGAGGTTGCGCCGCTGTACTCCAGCCTGGCGCCTGGTGATGGAGTGAGACTCTGTCT